ATACCAATCGAGGGAGTTAACATCTCCTAGCCACAACATCTTCTAGCCACAAGCAAACAGCAGCGCCTTGGGGTCCTGTTCTGTGTGAAGCCCGGATCATGAGACCAGGGTCCACTGCTGTGCGCACCAGATATCCGTTGAAGGGACCTCAGAAGTAGTTCTGTGCTCTCCAGCTCTGTGGGGGCCAGTTTCTATTGCGGAGGGCTGCAATGCTGTTTAGAGTTTTCGAATCTCATTTGACACACATGCCTTTAAAGTTAATTTGGAGCTTTCGTGACTGCAGGGATTACTCTTTGGTTCTTTCGGTAAAGTCACGTAGAGAGAGAAAATAGAAATGAATATTGTTATTTTTTTATTTTTTCTTTTAGCCCGATAACAAAATTAAGCAACAAATACATGAAACACATGTTGGGTGACTTGTATTAATATGTAAACAGACAAAGGAACGTGTTGCTCTTTTGTTCCTTCGGTAAAGTCACGTAGAGAGATAAAATAAAAAGGAATATGCTTTATTTATTTATTCTTTTTTCTTTCTACGTGACTTTACCGAAAGAACCAAAGAGTAACACGTTACTTTTGTCTGTTTACATATTAATACAAGTCACCCCACATATGTTTCGTGTTTTTGTAGCTTCATTTTGTTATCGGGCTAATCTGCCCTACCCGGCTTATGTTTGTGCACTACTTTAGATTTGTCACGTGACGACGCAGTTATTTTATTTCGATTACCCCAGAGCGGTCCATCCCATTTGCGGATGAACTGCGCACCTGAGATTTTGACGTAAATCAATACTGGTAGTCACCTCCTGGTGACACCAGCCCACGGGGGATTACTCTGTCCGTCGTGCAAATATGGGAGGGGAGGGTGGGGAGGGGCTGGGTGGAGAGGGGAGGGGCTGGGTGGAGAGAGGAGGGTGGGGAGGGAGGGGCTTGGTTGGGAGGGGAGGGTGGGGAGGGGCTGGGTGGGGAGGGTGGGGCTGCGTGGGGAGGGGCTGGGTGGGGAGGGTGGAGCTGCGTGGGGAGGGGCTGGGTGAGGAGGGGCTGGGTGGGGAGGGGCTGGGTGGGGAGGGTGGGGAGGGGCTGGATGGGGAGGGTGGGGCTGGGTGAGGAGGGGCTGGGTGGGGAGGGGCTGGGAGGGGAGGGTGGGGAGAGGCTGGGAGGGGAAGGTGGGGAGGGGCTGGGTGGGGAGGGTGGGGAGGGGCTGGGAGGGGAGGGTGGGGAGGGGCTGGGAGGGGAGGGTGGGGAGGGGCTGGGAGGGGTGGGTGGGGAGGGGCTGGGTGGGGAGGGTGGGGAGGGGCTGGGTGGGGAGGGGCTGGATGGGGAGGGGCTGGATGGGGAGGGTGGGGAGGGGCTGGGTGGGGAGGGGCTGGATGGGGAGGGGCTGGATGGGGAGGGTGGGGAGGGTGGGGCTGGGTGTGGAGGGGCTGGGTGGGGAGGGTGGGGCTGGGTGGGGGGTAGAAGGGGTGGGGCTGGGTGAGGAGGGGCTGCTCATCCCGTGGTGCCCTTATAAAACTCAACGAAGATAGGAGCAACAGGTTCCACACTGCCCACCAGGGATTATTTGTCTGTCGTGCATCGGAATGCAGCCCATCCATTCACCCCCCCACCGACCGCCGAGCAGGGCCACGATTGGTTGAGGATGTCGAGGAGGGAGGGTGGGGGGAAGGTAAACACGCCCAATCATCCAACTTCCCCCCCACCCCCCAAACGCCGAGCGGAGCGGCCACTGGTAGAGGTGGGGTGTGAACACGCCCACTCATGCAATCCCCTCCCCACCGAACACCGAGCAACGCCGCGATTGGTTGACGATGTCGGGGAGGGTGGGGGGGAAGGGTAAACACGCCCACTCATCCAACTGCCCCCCCCCCCCTCTTCCTGAACGCCGCGCTGTCCAACCAAGTTCCTACCTTTCGATTTAAAGCTTTCGTGACTGCAGGGATTCATCTTCTTGGTTCTTTCGGTAAAGTCACGTAGAAGGGAAAAAATAAAATAATCAAAATAAAAAATTTTATGTTTCGATTTAAAGCTTTCGTGACTGCAGGGATTCATCTTCTTGGTTCTTTCGGTAAAGTCACGTAGAAGGGAAATAATAAAATAATCAAAATAAAACATTTTTATGTTTCGATTTAAAGCTTTCGTGACTGCAGGGATTCATCTTCTTGGTTCTTTCGGTAAAGTCACGTAGAAGGGAAATAATAAAATAATAAAAATAAAACATTTTTATGTTTCGATTTAAAGCTTCTTTCGTGACTGCAGGGATTCATCTTCTTTGTTCTTTCGGTAAAGTCACGTAGAAGGGAAATAATAAAATAATAAAAAGAAAACATTTTTATGTTTCGATTTAAAGCTTCTTTCGTGACTGCAGGGATTCATCTTCTTGGTTCTTTCGGTAAAGTCACGTAGAAGGGAAATAATAAAATAATAAAAATAAAACATAATAAAATCAAATAATTCTCACGACGTTTCGGCTACAACGCAAGCAGCCGTCTTCAGGTGAAGTCAGACCACCACTCAAATATGACGTCACCTGAAGACGGCTGCTTGCGTTGTAGCCGAAACGTCGTGAGAATTATTTGATTTTATTATGTTTTCTTTTTATTATTCTATCACTTCCCTTCTACGTGACTTTACCGAAAGAACCAAGAAGACAAGTTCCTACCTGCCCACTCCGAAGGAACGTTTCACCTACTCACGCCGGCTTGTGCCCGCCCTCACAGTCGGGCATATTTGCGGAATACACCACGCCGCCGTTGACCCTGCAGGCCATTGACCGAGCAACCCGACGTTCCTACCAGCTCCCTCCGCAGCAGGAATGTGTTAACGCGTGGATTTTCCCTTAAGCCCAAATTAACAATCTAAAACAGTTTCACATTGTTAAACTTGGAAATGTTCATTGCAAGTCACGTGCTTGAACCGGACGGACATGTCGCTCCGGTTAATCCGAAATCCACGTGATCGGCTCTACAGTGCAGTAGTTGCAATATCTTTACAATAGTGAGCGGAGTTTGATGTTGATCGGCTGCTGTCAATCCACTTAGGGGGCGTCCATAAATGACGTCACGCGATTTGGGACGATTTTTTACCCCCCCTCCCCTCGTCACACGGCGTCACAAAAAGTCAGACCCCCCCCCTCAAATATGACGTCACAAAGCTCTGCCCCCCCCTCAAATAACACATGCTTCTAATCGCTTTAAACTATTGTCATTGTAGTGCGTATTTAATGTGGCGCTGCACTCTGATGTTGTAGGAGGAAACATTTATCAACAAATCTATTTAATTAAGTAGAACGTGTTGTCTGTATTCATTTAAAGTTGCGCACTTTGATGTGACGTCCCATTTCTCACCCCCCCCCCTCGTCACACATCGTCACAAATGTCTGACCCCCACCCCCCTAGGTGCGTGACGTCATTTATGGACGGCCCCGAACACAAAAAATTCTGATTATGTTAAACAGATCGACTGCTCGGCACGACCAGACGACAATTGGAACAGAATCGTTGATTAATCGGACTAGAATCGATGCCATTTTTAAATCCTTTATATTAAGTTCGCTTGCTTGCTTGCTTGCGTGCTTGCTTGCTTACGACCGTGCAAATCTTTCGGTCGTTTTTAAACCCACTTCCCGTGATCCAATCGAGCTGAAATTTTGCACACAGACTCGTTGTGCGAGACAATTAATGTTCGTGAAAATGTTTTTCCAAAATTTGACACTGTTTAGGGAAAACAAATTAAATATTTAATTACCAATTGCTTAATACTGGCAGACAATCATCTGACCCATAGGTGGCAGCCATCTCAAGCCAGAGGACGAGAGGACTCTAGCCGTCACGCATATAAAGGATTTATAGTGAAAAACTTAGTTTTTACTGGTTATACTTATTAAATCCTTTATATTAAGTTCGCTTGCTTGCTTGCGTGCTTGCTTGCTTACGACCGTGCAAATCTTTCGGTCGTTTTTTAACCCACTTCCCGTGATCCAATCGAGCTGAAATTTTGCACACAGACTCGTTGTGCGAGACAATTAATGTTCGTGAAAATTTTTCCCAAAATTTTACACTTGTTTAGGCAAAACAAATTAAATATTTAATTACCAATTGCTTAATGGTGGCAGACAATCATCTGACCCATAGGTGGCAGCCATCTCAAGCCAGAGGACGAGAGGACTCTAGCCGCCACGCATATAAAGGATTTAGAGTGAAAAACTTTGTTTTTACGGGTTATACTTATTATCGATTAGGGCCACCCGGTTTCAGTCACGCCTACCCGCCTGTGCACGTGCCCGAATCAGCCAATCAGCGCGCGACTATGTGACGTCACGAGAGTTAAAGACCCCCCCGCGCCACCGACTACAAAACTAAATAAATAAACGAATTCTTTACGTGCAAAGGAATACCGACATGAATGTACACACGCGTATATGCTTCACAAATATAACTTTTAAGGCCACAAATTTAATGACGAATAAAAAAATTCACCTCCCCCCCCCACCCCCCAAGATTTTCGCTCTTCCGACTTCCGCCCCCGCTCGCCCTCCCCCCCGCCGACTTCAAAACGAAATTTAAAACACAAATTATTTACGTGCAAAGCAATGCGCCCCTAAATGTACACGTATATTTCTCAAATATTATTAGAAGGTCACAATTTTTAATGACGGATTTTTAAAAAAGTATTTCTTAAGACTTCCGGTCGCTACGCCCCACCCCCACATACCCCCACCCGCCCCGCCCCCCCCACCGCTGATTGCCGCACCACGTGACCGTCGCGGACCAATCGGCGCGCGCAGTTGGTTTGGCGGGTTCCTCTCGCTGCTCCGCTCTGGTTTTTCTTCGGCCTCCACCATCACCACCACCACCATCACAACCACCACTCGCTTTCCCCGTCACTTTACCTGCTCTTTCAAACCGCGCCTCGGCCTCGCCTACCCCTCCTCTACTTCGCCTTCGAACGCCGTCAAAATATTCGCCGGCGAAGATTTTCCCCTCAGGAGACCCCCCCTCACCCGCCCTGCCCGCCCGCCCCGCTCTGCCCTGCTCTGCGTGCTCCATTGACGTCGCGGTCACTTTCTTTATTAATTGCCGTGGTTTCTTTTTGTTCCTCATCGTCATTCGCGTGGTCGACGACGATTTTCGTTGGTGAGTAGAACACGTTTACAGCTGTCGTGGTGCGGCGTGCGAGGCGCGGGTAATCTGCGTACAGTGCAACCATAATGCGTGTACAGCACTAACCCGTGTACAACACTAACCCGTGTACAATCATAATCTGTGTACAATCATAATCAGTGCACAATCATAATCGGTGTACAACCCACCCTGTGCACAACACGAATCTGTGTACAATCATAATCTGTGTACAATCATAATCTGTGTACAACCCACCCTGTGCACAACACTAACCCGTGTACAACACTAACCAGTGTACAACCCACCAGTGTACCACACTAACCCGTGTACAACCCACCCAGTTGGACAACCCTAATCCGTGTACAACCCTAATCCGTGTACAACCCTAGCCCGTGTACAACACTAACCAGTGTACAACCCACCCAGTGTACAACCCACCCAGTGTACAACCTTAACCCGTGTACAACCCACCCAGTGTACAACCTTAACCCGTGTACAACCCACCCAGTGTACAACCTTAACCCGTGTACAACCCACCCAGTGTACCACACTAACCAGTGTACCACACTAACCAGTGTACAACACTAACCAGTGTACAACACTAACCAGTGTACAACCCACCCAGTGTACCACACTAACCCGTGTACAACCCACCCAGTGTACAACCTTAACCCGTGTACAATCCACCCAGTGTACAACCCACCCAGTGTACAACCTTAACCCGTGTACAACCCACCCAGTGTACCACACTAACCAGTGTACAACCCACCCAGTGTACAACACTAACCCGTGTACAACCCACCCAGTGTACAACCTTAACCCGTGTACAACCCACCCAGTGTACAACCCTAGCCCGTGTACACGCGCGTCAGGGGCAGCAGCAGCAGCAGTAGTAGCCCGTGATGTTTGTGCAGCTGAGTTAGACACCGAGTAAAGGGCTGCAGCAGCTGCTGCTTCTCAGAAACCCGAGATGGCAAGAGGGCCACGCCTGGGTCTGAGTGTGCAAGTGTGTGTGTGTCAGTGTGTGTGAGTGTGCAAGTATGTGAGGGTGTGCAAGTGTGAGTGTGTGTGAGTGTGCAAGTGTGAGTGTGCAAGTATGTGAGGGTGTGCAAGTGTGAGTGTGTGTGAGTGTGCAAGTGTGAGTGTGCAAGTATGTGAGGGTGTGCCAGTGTGTGTCTGTGTGTGAGTGTGCAAGTGTGTGCAAGTATGTGAGTGTGTGTGCAGAGTGTGTGTGCAGTGTGCAAGTGTGTGCAGTGGGTGTGTGCAGTGTGTGTGTGTAGAGAGTGTGAGTGTGCAACTGTAACTGTTTGAGTGTGTGAGTGTACAGTGTGTGTGTGCAAGTGTGTGACTGTGCAAGTGTGTGTGTAACTGTTTGCGGGTGTGAGTGTGTAACTGTGTGTGATTGCAACTGTGTGTGAGAGAGAGTGCAACTGTGTGTGTGTGTCCATCTGTGTGTGCGCAACTGTGTGTGTGTGAGTGCAACTGTGTGTGTGTCCATTTGTGTGTGTGTGTGAGGGAGTGTCCATTTGTGTGTGTGTGTGAGGGAGTGTTCATCTGTGTGTGTGTGCGCAACTGTGTGTGTGAGAGTACAACTGGGTGTGTGTGAGTGTCCATTTGTGTGTGTGTGAGGGAGTGTCCATCTGTGTGTGTGTGTGTGTGCGAGTGCAATTGTGTGTGTGAGAGAGTGTGCAGGTGTGTGTGTGTGTGGAAGTATAACCGTGTGGGTCGTGTGTGTGCGCAATAATTGTGATTGTGAGTTCGTATGAATTTTGAGTCTCTAAGAGACTCCAACCATTTTTTTACGAGCTATTTCACGTGTGTGTCTGGAGTGCGTGTCAAAGAATGAGTGTAAGCGTGAAATATGAGTGTGGAAGTGAGTGAATGGATGATTTGCTTGAGAACGTGTGGGTGAATGTGAGCGTCTGAGTGTAAACGTGATTGTGACATTGAGTGTTTCATTACCAACCTAAATTCCACACCAACTCGATAATTCAATCGCACATATTCACTTTCACGCTCATTTACACACTTATTATTGCGCACACATTCAATCACACGTATGCATTGATTCTCGCAATCACACATTCACTTAGTCACGCGTACGCACAAAGACAAAGATCCCCCGTACAGCCTGGCCGGCACGGCACACGAGGGGGTAGGTGGCCAACACCACGCCCGGCCGCCTTTGTATCCCTAGTGGCGCAATCTACTCATTTGATGCTGAGTGAGGATGCCGAGGAGTTGTTCTGATAACAGTCACTGGTGTTGGCCGTGAGCGGGAATCGAACTCGGGTCACCAGGTTCGTAGTGCAGTGCGCTAACCCCACTACACTAACCCCACTACACTAACCCCACTACACTAACCCCACTACACTAACCCCACTACACTAACAACACTACACTAACAACACTACACTAACCCCACCACACTAACAACACTACACTAACAACACTACACTAACCCCACCACACTAACAACACTACACTAACAACACTACACTAACCCCACTACACTAACAACACTACACTAACAACACTACACTAACAACGCTACACTAACAACACTACACTAACAACACTACACTAACAACACTACACTAACAACACTACACTAACAACACTACACTAACAACACTACACTAACCCCACCACACTAACAACACTACACTAACAACACTACACTAACCCCACTACACTAACAACACTACACTAACAACACTACACTAACCCCACCACACTAACAACACCACACTAACAACACTACACTAACCCCACTACACTAACAACACTACACTAACCCCACTACACAAACCCCACTACACTAACCCCACTACACTAACCCCACTACACTAACCCCACTACACTAACAACACTACACTAACCCCACTACACTAACAACACTACACTAACCCCATTACACTAACAACACTACACTAACCCCACCACACTAACAACACCACACTAACAACACTACACTAACCCCACTACACTAACAACACTACACTAACCCCACTACACTAACAACACTACACTAACCCTCCCCAGACATACGTACTGGCGCGCACACAGACGGACTCTCTCTCACACGGAGTCAATCTAACACATTCCTGCGGAGGGAGCTGGTAGGAACGTTGGGTTGCTCGGTCAATGGCCAGGGTCAACGGCGGCGTGGTGTATTCCGCAAATATTCCCGACTGTGAGGGCGGGCACAAGCCGGCGTTGAGTTTTATAAGGGCACCACGGGGTGACCAGCCCCTTCCCACCCAGCCCCACCCCTCCCACTTAGCCCCACCCCTCCCACCCAGCCCCTCCCCACCCTCTTCTCCCCACCCAGCCCCTCTCCACCCTCCACACCCAGCCTCTCCCCACCCTCCCCTCTCCACCCAGCCCCATCCCTCCCATTTTTAGATACACGACGGATGCATACAATAATTCCCTGTGGGTTGGTGTTTTATAAGGGCACAACGGGGTGACCAGCCCCCCACCCAGCCCCACCCCTCCCACCCCCCACCCCTCCCACCCCCCACCCAGCCCCACCCCTCCCACCCCTCACCCAGCCCCTCCCCACCCAGCCCCACCCTCCCCACCAAGCCCCTCCCCTGCACGACGGACACAATAATCCCCTGTGGGCTGGTGTAACCAGGAGGTTCCTACCATACCAGTATAAACGTATAACCTAGTGTTTTAGGCCAGTATTGTGAAGTAACGCTGACGAAATGATCACACACTCGCACACATCCTCTTTCACCCTGACACTACTTGCACAAGTACACAACAAAGATCCCCCGTGTAGCCTTTAGCAGACTGATGGGGCAAGAGCGAGCGCCTATGAAGATCAGAACCCGCACACGGAGGGGGTGGGTGGCCAGCACCACGCCTGCCCACTTTTGTCTCCCCATTGGCGATGTTTACACACCACACCAGGTCCTCATTTGAGGCGGAGTCGACCTAGGGGAGGCCGAGGACCAGTTCAGATAATCATCACCGGTGTTGGCCGTGAGTGGGAGTTGAACTCGGGTTGCCGAGTTTGTAGCGCAGTGCCTCTAACTCGCTACACTATCGCTCCCCACACACAACAACACACACACACGGTCTCAAACATACACATACACAATCTCACGCTGACACATTTCCCACGTGTACACACACACACACGTGTTCTACACACACGTTCACAAATATGTGGGTGTTGTAAACCGTGTATAAAAGTGGTCAGTAACTACAAAGACAAAGATCTCCCGTATAGCCTTAAAAGACTGTTCGGGCAAGTAATGTTAGTGAGCGCCTATGAAGGCTGGCACGGCACACAAGGGGGTGGCCGACACCACGCCCGGCCGCCTTTGTCTCCCCAGTGGTGATGTTTACACCCCACACCAGGTACTCATTTGAGGCTGAATCGACCTAAGGGAGGCCAAGCGGTTCAGATAATAGTCACCGGTGGTTGGTCGTGAGCGGGAATCGAACTCGGCTCGCCAGGTTGGTAGTGCAGCGCGCTAACAGCTACACTACCGTTGCCCTACAGTAACCACACACACGGATGCGTGTGTGGGGCATTCGTGGGTGTCTAAGCAGTTTGCAGCCTACACTAAGATCTCTGCGAACGACACAGGTTCGACTCGCGTTGACCGTGCGATATCTGAATCCGTGCCTGGGTGCCTCTTAGGTTTACTCGGCACAAAAATGAGTGACCACCTTTGAATCACAAACGACTGTACCGCGAACACGAGGCAGCCCCTGGGCATACGAGTTGCTTCACCCACCACCCCAAGCGATGTGCCGGACTGTAACCTGTGCGTGCACTGCCTTAATAGGCGCTCACTGACTAAACATAGAGGCATTGTACTGCGGCAATGCTGCTGCTAGGACACACTCCCAGAAGACCGTCCGGCTGATGGGTTGTGTAAAGCACAACTTTATTGTTTTACGTGACAGAGACAAATATGGGAAGGATGCGTTATTTATTTTGTTTTTGACCAAAAAGAGGTTGCTGCACCTTCCTGGGCGGTGTGCTA